TTCAAAATAACTATCAATTTAAATCTTCACTGTTGAGTGACCTGAATGGTTCAATCAATACCAAATGAATAGTTTCGCTTTCAGATCTAACTGAACAAACTGCCAACGGGTATTATAAGTGGTAATTTCTTTAAGGTCTGATCAATCCGGTAGGATAACTCTACTTGCAGCCAGCCAAATTGGAATGAAGACCGGGTAAAAAAAAAAAATTCTATTTATTCCTTTAAACAATAGAAAAATATTAGATTCGTATTTTTTACTTCAATTTAACAAGAAATAGCTAAATTAATGGGCATTTAAGTTAAGGAGTGCCGCTTCGCTGCGTCATAGTTTTGTAGAAAATGTACAAAAGCGTGACGTCATGTGACATTTTAAGTCAATGTATCGCTGAAATTTAATGATTACGAAAAAATAAAAAATATGTGTTTAATAATTTCCAACAATCTAGCTGACGGACAAACAAAACTAGTCAAGGCAATGCAATAAATAAGGAAATTCCTAGTAAACTTTGTGCAAGCATAGTAAGCTTAATGAATAAAAAAAGATATTTGTTTTCTATTTTACATCGTGAAGGTTCATTAAAAAAAGTAAAGTAAATCCGTACCAGTGCAAATCGAACTCGAGCATCGAGTAAATATACAAATATTAAATCGAATATTTTGACAATTTTTTCCCGTTTCCCTAATAACTTTAAAACTGTTTGTTCATACTTCATATGACATAGCACAACTTTATTTTATTTTCTAACCCCATCCATGAATTTATTACAATATATCCATCTTTCACATCACCTCAATCGAGCCAATAGTAAACAACAAATTAAAATGGGACAGAGAGACAGACACGTTATTTCGGTTTAAGATATTTACTCTAATAGTTTCTACAATCTTCAAATGATCTTTTTTGTAAAACAAAAATGTAGATATTATGATATATTTCTAACTAAGAATACGAATAAGAAAAACAAGTCTAGATTTATACGCGAAATAATGTAATTTGTTCGGTGACAATTTACATAACTTTTGCCAACTTGATTGACGTTTATTCTTCTGTCTTATCTTATTGTTTGATCTTTAAGTTTTACGGTGCGTCCTACAAGAGCGAGAAGCGCGACTTGAAGCGATGCTACCATTATTGCTATGAAAGTGAGACCGAAATTTCAAAAAAGTGCGCACTTTTGGTCAAAAGTTAAAAAATGTATGGATAACAGCACACATCGCTTTTTCTATCAAAATAAAGCCGCAATTCATTGATATGGCTATTCTACGAACAGACTATGATTACTTTTATTCGCGTACATAAGCAGCCTCTTCACACGCTACGTCGCGGAGTATCGCAAATTGTTGAGACTTCTGTTTTTCTTCGCTTCGTTACTTTCATTACCTCATGAGGTAGATATTATTTGATTGAACTTCTAATGCTGTAACAGCGCTGTGTTCGACGCTATATTCTAACAGAATATCATAGCAGTTATAACACAACTGAGTAATGAAGCATCTCGTGAATCTTCGTTTGCGGAGGTAACCTCTCAATTTCAATGATGACCGCCCGCATGATTGATATTTATAAAGTCTTGTTGAAATATCCAGAAGGTATAAAGTATAACGCACGCATTAAAAAGATGTGTCTCTTACTCACACTTAAAAGGTGTAGTGCAAATACTTTTGCGCACTTACATATTAGTTGTGTTTATTTCTGCATATGGCATTAGAAGAATGTATTATCAATATTTTTCCAGTCTTCAAATTTCTGCATCAAATATCATCACAATCTGCTCAGTGAAAATGCCGTGAAGGCAGAGTAGATAGGGTTATTACACTACCTATCGCATATTAGAATAAATAAGTATCAGAGTATCGCATTAGTTGAATAAATTGCGTCATATCGCAACTGTCGTCAATGTAGAACAGCTTGTTATTGTCAAATTTATGACCTCAAAACGTAATTCTTCAAACAATGTTAATGAAATTTCATTATGTTTGAAAATGAAGTTTCATTAAATTGTCTTTTTCTTGTGTCAAATAATAGTAGAAAGAAAAATCTGGAAAAATACCTAACTAATATTACTTTTCAAGATATAAAGTCTATTCGGATTCTATTTTAATTATTATTCATAATCATAGAAGATTACTTTATTATATGAATTAATGATCATGATTCCCGGCTAGATTAACGTCGAAAAGGTTTTTTTTTTTATATTGTCACGGGGTGTTTATTGTCTCGGGTCTTCTCGTTGTGTCATTATTCTATAATACAAAGGTTTATGTTACCAGCTTCTGGGGATATCGCCTTCAAATTTTACATCAAATTATTAAGAAGTAAATACTTGCATATTTATTACTAATAAATTATGAACGTAATTTATTTATAAATTTTCTTTTCTGTAGAAATACAAAAGAAAAAAGGCAGCCCTTACTGAGTTTCTTTGTCCTGTGACGGGTTCGATGCTTGGGCGAATTAATGGAAGGCTAACTAAGCTTGAGAATTGTTTTATTTTATGATAAATATGTAAAGGGTAAAGAAAAAAAAATTGTAACAAACAAAAAGTTATTATAAAAACAGTTCGTAAGTTACCTAAATATAAAATTGCAATTACCAAATAGAACAAATACATACCCCTTTTTGGGTTTGCCTTGATAAGTAAACTTTGACGATATTTCAAGATATAATTTTATTTTAAATAATATATAATTTCTATTTTATTATGGTTTAATCATAATAACTTCATATAATATTTTATATTTAAATTTATACGATTTACAATAGCATGTTCACAACAGAAGATTTCTTTTACTAACTTAAGGTGTAACTAAAGGTGAATAATAAAAATAAATGATGTTGAATTTCAAAGACAAAAAGTTTTTACACTTAACACTAAGTTTTTAAACCTAGGAAAATAAACGGTGGTACGGCGCACCGTTACAGTACGAGGTCTCTTTAACTTACAATTAGTACAAGTAAGAACCAAATGCGAAGTTTTCTATACTAACACAATATTTTAATCATTAATATGAAAAAATCAATTCTTGTATAAAAGTCAACTTTCAGATCCAAAAATAATATTACCAAAGCAAAGCATAGTATTACTTGGGATAGTTTTCGAAAACTAAACAGTTTTCTTTTTAAAGATGCAACTACCCTAACTCTAGCCAACAAAATTTCTGAAATACTGATACATCGTGTATTTGATAATTTTGTTATTTATAATGTTTTATTGATATTCATTTAGCTTATGGAGCAGTCGCCTGGATTGCAAAATATTATGGATTATGGCAGGTAAAAAATATTGGATCATTCAAAAGTTCAATACCTACTATCAGTAATACTAATTAGTTTATTTTGATAAAGGTAATTTGACTTTGTCTTTGATTTCCTTTATACTCCATTCATTATAACATTAGAAAAAAGAGGATCATAGAAGCAGCAGTGCAGAACATTTTATTTTCAAGATAAATTTAAAAAATATATATTATAGTTTTGTTGAAACTTTGAACGTTAGGTAGTCTGAAAGAGCTGAACAATTTTCTAATTTTTACGATACCTCAGGGTTGAGATGAGGCCAGCATTTTCTAAATTCAGCTTTTACTCCTAAGCTAACATGGAACTAAAAATATCTATCTGTTGATTTGATTATAATTAGAATAGAATTTAGTTATATCTATGCCCAGAAAGGTAAACAAAATGAGAATTTAAAGAAAGGTAAACAAAATGAAATTTTTATTATTACTTTTATACCACACCTGATGATTAGGCACCTGAGAATATAAAATTTTCCATGTATTTTTCTATAAAATAAATATAAAAATAGCACGGTGAATGCAATATTTATCCACAACAATAAAAGAACTATTGTTACTCATTCCCAAACGAAAGAATCCAAGAATAGATACAGAACTCGGCAAACTATTATATAACCTACAAAGCCTTCGGGATATTGAAATAAATCCTACGTTTGTCTTGAATGACGCTAGTGCAAATAAATGAAAAACCTTTTACCAGGTAAGCGATTTAGAATACTTAATCGCGGCAAGTAAATCTCTGCAATCCAGACCTAGATGGGGTTTTAGCAGAAAATTTCCTGGCTAAATGGTCTGCGAATAACAAATGGTATGGAGAGTGATTCTAACATACGCAAATACGGGTTACATCATAAAAGGATTCCACACTTCTAACATTATTAATATTTCAAATGGCTCCGAAGCAATGTACTGTGTAATAGAATTTAGGTGATGTTCTACCAGTTGAGAAAGGACTCGACTTTCTCAAAAAGAAATATACCTTTTAAAATTCTGTGTGGGTTTAACACACTAACACATCACTAATGTTTTTATCAAGTTACAAACAATTAACAATGATTTTTTAATAATTTATAATCGTTTGAATATATTTTGTTGCATTAAAAGGTAATTGTAAGGCTCTAAGAGGAAACTAAAGAGAATAGAGATGAAGACTGGGTAAAAAAAAAAAAAGAAATTCTATGTAGTCCGTCAGTCACGTACTTATTTTACTTCAATGTAACTAGAAATAGTTTAGATAACAAGCATTAGAGTTGAGGATTGGGTGCTCGCCACGTCATAGTTTTGTAGAAACCGCACAAAAGCGTGACGTCATGTGACTTTTAACTCAATGTATCGCCGAAATTTAATAATAACATAAAAAATACGTGTTTAATATATTTTTTACAATCTACCTGACGGACAAACAAACAAAAAATCTCCTTCCGAGTTGGGCGTTGTTAGTCCGAGGACCGTCAACTGGTATAGGTTAGAAATTAATACAGATACAACAACAATTCATCTATTGCAACAAATTTTATTATCATTGCAACTTTCAGATCATAGTGAATATTAGTGATCTAAAGGTTGTGATGACGACTTTATAGTAAACAAAGCATTGAAAATCTTTGCCAAATATGGATGAGACGGATCAATGATATTTGATCTTTGTAAGTTATATAGTAAATCTGTAAAAGATAATACTTATAATAAAGTTAGACTCACCAGTAATGTGTACAGCAATCGCTGGTGGCATCACAAATATGCCAACTAACAAGTCAGCTACCGCCAAACTAGTCACGAAACAATTGGTCACTGTTCTCAACCTTTTCGTGGTCACTACTGCTGATATTATTAAAGTATTACCTATCACCGTCACCACTATCAATAAGAACAGTACAATAACTACACTAATTTCTATGCTATCGTAATTTGTATCTGTTTCACAATAGTCACTGATATTTTTGTTAGACACATTGGTTCTACCACACGCTGCTTTTATATTTTGAATATCTTCTGTTCCATTTATAACTTGGTATACGCTGCTGTTGAGATCGATGTTTCCTTCTGTGTTTTCTATAAGTAGTTCTAGTTTTGCTGTGGTGTTCCATTTTATTATACCGTCTAATTCGATGTCAGGTATTGCAATCATGTGTTTACGTCTGTTGTGTCTGCGATGTCATTTTCTGTAACAAAAAGGAATATCATAAAGTATTTCACGGCTATGAAGTTGATATCCAATTCCTATTAAGTTTGAAAACATTGGAATTTTTAAATTTTGAAAAGATTCGCTCTCATTTGTTGAACACCGACTTGATCAAAACTTTTCTAAATATCGAATATCAAACCAACGAGGTTGAAATAAACATAAATAATATTACGCTTTCAATACCTACAACGAGGCTGTCACAACAATTTCGGATGCATCGATTTCTCCTCAAGGTGCCGTGACAAAGTATTTACCACATTATACATACGCCACATTATAATACACATCAACTTAAATAAGATAGCATATATCAGATATAATACAATGCCCCTTCCCTATTGTGTAAAGAGAAACATTCGCGAATTGTACTCAAATACGGGTGTATTGTTACACTGGTATATGAGACCTGATTTCTATCGATAAAAATAGGGAAGCAAAAAAGGAGAATCCCATTTATTTGCTTGTATTCCTTTTGAAAAATTTCATATCTTTTAGCAACCCTTCTTGGTATTTCATCTTGTAAATCGGCATCATTATGTAAGTGGCTGGTCCTGATTTTATCTATTTACTTTCTACTCTGATCTTAGATATTGGAATATTGCGTTCCGCAAATTCCAAAGAACATTTCGTTTACATAAAATCGATGGTTTTGTCTGTCGTACACGTGTATTTTTATCACCGTGCCTAAACTGTGGGATTGTTTGAAACATAATATATAACGCCATAAAAGAAAGACCTACATAAAGAAAGAAAAAATATCAAACCCCTTTTTAATAGCTACAAAAATGTCATAGATCATTTTTTGTTCAATATCTGTATTTAAAAAAGAATGTTGCCAGTTACTACTGATAAATATTAAGAAAAAAAAATATATAATTAATCTGATTCCAAAATTTGTAAGAGAGAAATAATAATATCACAAAGTTTTAATCTTAAATAAAATCGAAAATATAGACTACCTTAAATGAATATTGTGCCATATTCCAACAAAATTACATACAGATCAAATTAATAACCTTGTTACGGGTTCGGTGCTTGGGTCAATTAATAAGGCTGCTTAGCTTGAGTATATATTTATTAGTTAAATAAGGGTAATAAGAAAAAACTGTAACAAACAAAAATAAATTTATAAAAACAGTTCGTAAGTTACTTAACTAATACATACTTATCAAATAAACGAATACATACCCCTTGTCGGGCTTCTAGTTAACTTTTGGATTTAATGGTCTTTTTTTTTGAAGTTGATTATAAAAAGGTCCTCAATTTTCACTCATATTACTGTAGCTTAAACTTGTATGTAGCTTTAATTTTAATAACTTATATTTTAAAAACTAATCAACCGATTTTGATGAAATTTGTAGTGTTCCCTAATCAGTGCACGACGTCTAGTTTGCGAGAGCGGCTTTTATGATCAGCTCTTATTGGCTATTAAGAGCAATAAAACAGATATTGAAGGAGTGTAAGGTGCAACTTTATTCTGTTTAAAGGAATATTTGTTTCGATGGTATTATTAAAAATCGAACGGCGAAATAATGCGAGTTATTGTCATAAATAACTTTGTTTTAGATTAGGCAAAAGAAATTTCTAAGAATTTCAAAATACAACGGAAAAATTGCAGGAAAAGATTATTATTTATATATGTATAATATGATATTGTATATACATGAATTCGTTTGTGGTATAGTTTAACAAAATTCTTGTTGGTTAATTTTTACCGCCATCATGTTTTTCTCTTTCCCAATTGTTACCGGTGTGCTATTAGCATTAAGTCCACCTCTTGTACCAATCCAATTGTCAATGAAGTGTCTTACATCAATAAATAAAGAGTAAAAATTTGCTTTTTCTCTTCCTTTCCCCACGTGTTCTTTAGCTCCGCTTTTGTGCTTTCTTTTTCGTTCCAATTATTTTTATAAAAAAAAAAACAGCTAGTAATTTTTAACTTGTATGCATCGTCCGTTTATCGCCATGAGAAACTACTATACTATAATATTTCAAAGGAGTGAATTGAATCAAATGTGATATGTGAAAGTGATATCAAAGACACATGTTAAATTTTGTTTTCATAAAATCCCTTTCAAATTTCCCGAAAGAAAATTTTTCATTGAGTAATTTCAGCAAACATCCCACGCGAGCTTATAAATGAATGCATCCGTACAGCCTCGTTTGACTGCGATATTTTTAGAAATAGGAACATGAAAAGATTTTTAATAATTTCAGAAACTGTTGCTCTTCCAACGGTATCTTTTGTAATATAGGCATATGGCAAACTTTCAAATTAAAAAAAAGTTTGATTTTATAAGTACAAATGGCGGTTTTGCGGCGCCTTCGCGAATGCGTAAATGAGCATATGTCACCAGTGCGTGCTGTAATATTTTACCTCTTTACTTACTATTTAGCAGTGATATTTATAAACAAGGTTTATCGTTGGAATAAATTTTCTCGGAGGCTAATTATGAAGATACCAGCCGCAGGGCTTCAAAAAAACGAAAAAGCTTTTAACTTATTTATTAAAATATGATTACAATAATTAAGTGGTGGCTTTCATAGTCCAGGCGATTGATCCGGTGAGGGTCACGCGGCAGCACGTCCATGGCACGTTACGCTGAGGAGGCACTTCTTCGATGGTGCAATGATTTGGTGGCCTCCTTGCATATGCAGCATCGCCAATACTCTTACCTTACCAATACTACCTAGTATTAGTCAAAATACAAGTTATTATGTAGTGTGTACATCTCCAACCCTATTATAAATAATATGTTTAGTATAATAAAGACAGTCAAAACGCAACATTTGTCTAATTCATACGTACTCCCAGGTCCCCACATTGCATGGCGACCCTGCCAGTGCTGCCCGTAGGCAGCGCTGCGTAGCTGTTTTTTTTTTAAGTATAATTAAGTGCGCGCGTGCGTTGTTAAAAACAATAATATATAATAATAACACGAACAATACAAAATAACAATATGAACAAAGTGAAAAATATATAGTATGGATAATTTATAATTTTAAAATAAATTTATCTGTCGATTGCTGAAACAAATAATACCTACAAATAATTGGTCAAAATATATTTACACGAAGAAGATAAAATTATGGGAAAAGTAGAATATTTGGTAAATTGAAAGCTGGGAGCGGGGAGATGAAGGAGTCTGATGAGGAGCAGCTGGGAGAAGTTCCGGTCATTGGGACAAATGGATATAAATGGACTGGCAAGAAAATATCATAATTCCAAAATCATAAAAACCAAACAAAATATTATGCCGATCATGGTTTAAATTAGAATTCCTATTTTAACGAATAGTCAATATTATCATCTTGTTTATTTGTATTTTAATGTAATTGCATTGAAATAAGGATTTCAATATAATAGATTTTTTTTTCAGTGTAATTTTTTATCAATATTAACCATGTGTACATAAGTTTGTAATAATTATTAATATCTATATCTAATTTCAGGATTGCATTTATACAAAGATTTGACATCTAAAAGGAAGTCAAAAAAAAAAAAATTTTAAACGCCTATATTGAAAAATGAAAAATGATATCTGTTTCTTTTTGTATGTTTTGATTATAGATTACATATATATATATATATATATATATAATAAGTCTTTTGAACAACGAGAAATTATGTTAATACTTTTATATAAATTGGATTTTATTTGGTTATTATTACTTGATCGTTTGTGAGAATTACACATAGTTACAATTTGCATTTTATACAACCAAAGTTATCATATTTGATAGACTGCTAAATTGATATTTATAATTTAAATTCATAATTGAGTTCAAAACTGAACAATAAAGTATAACCTAGCAACACGTGTAGTATGTATGCATTTAATAAGTACGTGCAAGTTGTCTTTGAGATTAAATTTGGAATAAATTTATTTATTAGTCATTTGGAAAATTTCCAACAAAGAAGAAAACAAGCCAAAATACAAAAATAATGTTAAAATCCTTCAATGGTATAACATTAATTCAAAGTTGGTATTGAAATTGTAATTATTCTACTGCTTCATTAAATTATGAAAAGAAATATTTAGAAAAGTAGCTAATATTACGAATATATATGTATAAAGTATCGCAAAGCTTATTAATGATGTTACATATTTATATATTATTGTCACTTAATATCATTATTACTTGAAATCGTATAATGAAAGTAATGAAAATCAGTTAGCTACAGAATCACTAAGATAAAGGGTTTTAATTATCTTTCCAAAAATTAAACTTGACAAGATAGACTTTATTCAATATATATTTTCTTATAGAAAAATACTTACACGTAGTTTCAAATTGTATTTTATTCAAATTTGTATGTTTATCAGAAACATAATAAAGATTAATATCATTTGAAAGTATAAGGCATTAGTTTTCGTAATAATGTATTCAGACTAGTATCTAGTTAGATGAACACGTGATAAGCAAACTCCAATCATTTACAAATTGCCAAGGTCTGCTCTGCCAGAAAATATTTATGAACGAAAGACCGAAAACTGCGGGTTCAATTTCTGATTGAAACAATATCTTATAACGTATTTAAAAGTACATTTTTAAATGTTATATTATTATCAGACATAACGGGTATAAAATATCATCGGTTGTTAAACTTTTTATTTAATTACCAAAGTTGTAATAGATTAACCAAAATTTTAAAATAAAGAATAGTAAGTTGAAACTTTGCGATGCGCTGAATAACATAGGTAACACAAAAGGAAGTTAGGTATTGTATTTCTATAACCTTACAATGCGCAATGCATCTGTAGTTTTGCAAGCTGTCATTTAGGTGAACCAGTAATGTGAAAATAAACAATATCACTTTAATTTGCCGGTTATGTTGATCTGGATTTAATATTATATTACAAACAATAATAATGCACATGCAATTGATATCTTTTAATACGAGTCACATTGTAATATGAGTTTATAGCAAACAATCGATG